TCTCTGATTTCTTCGCCTTTTTCGCTCATCAGACTTGAAACTGTGTGTGGTGCACGGATTTTGTTTGGAACAGGTCACAGTAAATCGCAACTATTGTCTCTGCGATAAACTACAGCCGTAATGCGAAATAAAGCAACGCCTGTCCGTTGAGTTTAGGGTTGGAGGGGTTCGGGCGTTCAGGGGTTAGGGTCTCTGGATGTTTCTGGTTTCTAGATGTTTCTGGGTTTAGTGGTTTAGGGGTGCAGGGGTTCGGGGTTGACGAGTCACTGCATGTCAGTACACATGATTGCATTTGTCTATGCCTGAACATGCCATAGGGCAAGGTGGGTCGGTGGGTCGGTACTCATTAATCTTCTCAACAACTCCAGCCCCCAGTGCCTTAACCTAGGGGAGCAGCAGTAAATGCCTTATCTGTAACGAGCATTGGTGTATCCGTCCACAGATTGATCAGATCAACGTGTCTGTAACAGTCTATTGAGTCTATCGTGCCCCTGGTGTTTGACTGGGTGCGAGTCTTTCGAGTGAAGAGAGGTGCATCTGGTTGTTAGTGCTTCTGCAGGCAGCTGGGTTCGGGTGTTTGCTTGTGTGAGCGGTTGGCGTACGCACGACTACGTGTTCGCATGCCTCGAGTGAGTTCTTTGCCGGAAGGCTCATGACACGTGGCGCCTTGAATAAAGACGACACAGGAAAGAGAGTGCCGAAGCAGCCTCAGGTTCTGGGGCCACATCTCCAGCGTGCTGGCCGCAAGGGACGTTCTCCAGTTGTTCTTGTGCTTGGTCAACCCTGCAGGTTCCATGTACACATTGCTGCTGTCCATCACCAGCGGTATCAGCTGGGTGGAGCCTGCTTCTGCGCACCTTAGTGGACATGAAGAGACTCTCGCATCCTTCGAAGCCGCTTTCCATTAATGGCAATGGGAGTATTCATGTGAGTAAGGCTCAGCCAGCTGCACTTTGTGTATGCTCCGCTCTTTGCGTCTCGGCACGCAGGAAAGGAACAGTGCTTGCGCGATCGCTGTCACTGCACACTCTGAGACGTAGTGCGGCTGATCCACAGCAACCACAAATGAATGTGAACGACTCGAGCTTGCTCTCGGAGCGTTCGTTTGTAGCCAAGACAAGAGAAATCTCCGAGGCATAGATGGTACAAGGCTTCGTAAGACGTGGGTGCATCAGCCGTCCTCTTGCTTTCTTCTGCGAGGTGCTATATATTTGTTTCATGTATTTTGCAATGATGAATGATGCTTGGCTGCAATGTCTTGCTTCATCGAAGATCCAAGCATCGCCAGGCACTCTTCAATGTTCAATGCTCAAACAAGGCAAAATGATCAAACATATCAACTTCGATGTGCCTTGAACAGTGAACATCGCATATCCCAGGCAGAACTTTCCCAGGAATCTTCAATGTTCATGGCTAAAAGTAGGGAAAACATCTGCTTTTTGGCGTCTGGTTCTCTTCTCGCAACTGGGGTCACACAGTGACTGTTGCCGACCTTCATCGTGTGTGTTGAACGTGCAGAGTTTTGTGTTGAGCTGCATCTCGCAGCATTGTGACTTAATTCGAGGATGGGAAAGCTGTGTTACTATCATGTTGGCTCCGATGCCGATTGTAGATTTCTAAGTCCAGGTTGACTGGAGTAGCATCCCAACGTTCGTCTAGTGTACGCATTAGCAGTTAATATTGACTGGGGAATCTAGTGCTGCCATAATAGCCTTGCTGTCGTGCTTGAAGCTTGCGGCCGCATGTTGGCTCGTGCTTCCACTGTTCGTGTTTGTCATCCTTGCCGTGAGTGTGGAGCAGTTTTCTATGGGTGGTTGCAGTGGTCCTTCGAAGGGCCATGCAATGGCAATGCTTTAGCACGAGCTGATCGTGTCGTCGAGCGGCGGCGGTCACCTACTGTAAACCTACTAGTTCGGCGTCTTTCTGGTGTCGTCGAACGGCGGCGGTCAGAAATTTGCAAAGCTACGACGACTTGCCCAGGTGGTCGCCTTGTTGGTTGAGCACATGAGTTGTTAAGTATTGCTTCAAGGATTCGTGCTATAGGCTACACTTTCGCACTCATGTTAGATGGTTGCCCTCCTTTTGAAATGAGGGGGTCCGCATGGTGTCCTGTCCATGTGGGGGCTGCCGGCACCAGAACAAAGTTAGTTAGTTAGTTTGCCCAGGTGGTCACAGGATTTTTCTGCGAACATGCCTTCGAGATGGCCCGTTCCGAGAAAGATTCGTTGATCCAGGTGCGCCGTTCGCTTCTGCATTGCATGGTGGATCGTTATTGTTTGCTGTTTTAGAGTTCGTGTTTGTCGCACGCACATCTGCGCAACCACTCCTGAATTTCAACATGTCATTGCAAAGCAACAAACCAGACCAAACAAAGACCTAGGCACAAGCTGTTTCTTTGCTACTCAACCGCGATGTGTGAAGGAGCAACTCCGGAGGAAGAATCAGTGCTTTGGCAATGCATAGCCTTATGCATGTGTGTGGGCAGATTGTCGCGATCTAGAGCTATCATCATGCAGCTTGCGGATGTGTGAGCAAGCAACGCAACGTGTGTGTGCTGGTGAAGACAAGGTATTTGGAGCACTTCAGGCAGCACTGTGTAAGCCGCGATACACCCGCAAGCTTGCAGCCAGAATCGGCAACTTGAATCGGGTCTGATGGGGTTCGCTGCTCCACTGCCTTCCAGGGCACGGGTTCGTCCGCTTCAAAGAGCTTTGCAAAGCAGCTGCGACAGCACATCTACTCAGATCCTGATTCTTCAGCGCTGTTCCATGCCTACAGTGTTTCGTTAGCGGTAGCTGAGAGCAGAGCTGCACGTCGTCACCATGCATTTTCTGGCTGAGGGCTTACTTGATATCTCGGAGTATGCAGGCAGATCTTCGAAGAAGGTGACTGTGATGAAAGCGGAGAGATCTCCTACACAGCGCCTTGCCGTTGAGCCTGGAGCACGAGATGAAGTGCGTGAGCTCGTGACGTGCGCGCATGATTGGCTTTATCTTTAAAACAAGTTCGTGTGCAGGAAAGCATGATTTTCAGTTTCCTGTGATGCGCGAATGCAGCCTACTGCAACAGGAGTTCGAGAACTTCATGCAAGATGAGCACTTGCATCGTGGAGCATTAAGACAACTTGGGGATTTGGTCATTCAAAGCGTCTTGTGCTGGCCCATGACATTCCGTTGCTGTGGATGAACAGATAGAACTTGTCTGTACTTGAGGCAGGCATACTTGTCGCATCTCAATGTGGATCCTGACAATGCGTGGCAGGCGGGACATCAAGTGCAGCATGCAAACTTCCATTCTGCATACGCTTCAGTGCAGGATGTGCGTACAGCTTGTTTTGCAGCTGTCATGCCTGGCAAACCGGAACTCTTGTATGCAAGCAATGTTCGCAACGTTCTGCTTGACATCTGGCCATGCCGAGCGGTCCTGCTGGCCTAACGAATCTGAGTATCAGTCAAGCCGGCGCTGGGTTTCGTCCTCGTATCCAAGACAAGTGCAGCACCTGTCACAGCTGTTGGCCCGTGTTCGCTCCCTTCCTTTCTAAAAGACCCGACCGCTGTTTCCCAGATCTTCCGCCTCATTGACTCCAACAAGGACTGCATGTGTTCGTTCATGCAGAGACTGAGAGGCCTCAAGCCACTCCAACTTCACATTCTGGCTGCCTCGAAGCTTCTTGCAGGACGGATCCGTGACCCTGGAGGAGCTATTGGCAGACTGTGTGTTTGCGTTTCTGAGGCCACACAAGAGCTGCTGGCAGGAGTTTACAACAGGGCTCTTGACAATGAAGGGCCCGGCAAAAGCAATCGACGTCAAGGGCATTGCTGCTGGAATCAACTATGAGCGAAGTCGTAGATCGGAAAGGAGGGTTTGCCTGGTGAAGGCCCAAGTGGAGACTGCATTGAAGTCAAGCCAATCATTACGGTCGCACGTCAATTTGTACCGACAGTGAGAGTCCTTCACAGAGGGGAGGCCTGTGTGATTCGTACACTGCACCGCGGACAACCAAATGTCTCCAAATGCTGCATTCTGAGTCGCACATTTGGTTGAGGTTTACGATGTGAAGAAGGAAGCCAAGAAAACGAAGCGTCGGATGAAGCCTCCGAGCAGCAAGTAGCAGCATTACCGCTGTGATTTGGGAACGATTCTCTGCCCGAGGCGCATTGATGCACGCCTGCGGGACATCAAGTCGCAGATAGGTGGTCATGTTAATGGAGACATAGACGGCTGATCCGCAGCCGACAGCCGACAGGCTCATGCCATGTCGATCAGATAGTGTCAGCGACAGGCTTGACAGAATAGGCCATGGCCAGATGCCTCTTCATAAGCATTGCATCATCATCGCACATCTGCTTATCGCTGATGGACTCGTAGAACCATGCAGACCGGGGCTGTTTGTGGCCGAAGGCGTGCCGGCAAATCTAACCAAAGCCAAGCCCTGAATTGGCAATCGCCCCCCAAGATGCGAGAGTATGAAAGAAGGTGCAAAGATGCAGAAATTCTTCAGAATGAGTCGTGACTCGCGCTCTCACAAGCCGCTCTCGGTCTGCGAAGGTCCGCTGTGAAACAGCGCACCGGATACGGAATTCTGCGGGGGCTGGAGCCGGCGTTGCTCACCGGCACGACCTCCCACCTCCCGACACTGCCAGTTACCAGTTAGCTGGACATGTTAATGCACAGCACTGCCCCCCTCAGCAAAGTCAAGTTGCCACTTGTATGTAAGATGAGACAGGTTGGTATAGTTTGCCGAAGTCTAGACTTGAGTTGGCTGTTGAACATGTTGAGGGATTGTCGCGTGCCTTCTCTGTATCACTCCCTCAGCTACGTTCATCCATGCGGTCTCTCTCAGACCGTTTCCGCAGACTTCGCCTCCCCCACAAAGACGGTTGGGTTCGAGGACAACCCAGACTTGGGGGCTGGCGTGGAAGGGTTTGCCAAAAAGCTGGTAGAAGACATTTGCTATCATGAGCTTTTTCGGAGGGCCGGAGATTTTGTCAGCTTTGCAGGTACATGAACGGCTTTCCGATCGGCGTTCAGAAGGATGGCAAGTGAGCGCTCTGTTGTCACCGCAAGGCAACAGCAATCAACGCTGCCACCTTCACGATACAAGGAAACTTGTGATTTGCAAGCAAGAATCGCAACGGAAGAGTCCCAACAAGCAGTACTTTCGGTTCACGAGACATGCAATCTACCCAGCCAGCACCATAGAGGAACAGTGCAAGCCACGCATGAAAGTCGTGCAGACTTATACTTGTGATGATTGCGTCAGATCCCGCCACGTTTGCCACCTGCATGTGTGACCTGTGCAGGTACTACCTCTACAATCACTTGAAGTTGGATCTCAAGTACCATTCGAGCCTCCGACTTAACGCCTTGCGGCAGCGCCGAGGTCTTGCCATTGCTTTGAGTTCGTGCAGGTGACACCTATGAGGGTCACCGGATTGTCGGCTTCGAGATTGAGCCAAGGAGTGTCGTCCAGGTGGGGAAGATGTGCAAGAAGAGACGTATTGAGAGTTGCTCGCTGCAGGCGACACAAGCAGATCCCACCAAGCCTGGAGGCCTGAAGGCCGTCTGTCAGGCAGGGTCCAGGGTTTTCTAATACTTGCATGTGGCTAGCAGCGCAAGCGGGTCGAGCAGGAGGGAGCCGATGCTCAGCTCATGGAGCTCGACATGTTCAACGCCCCTGCTGCAGCTTTTCACTTCACGCGCCTTTTCCAACTGTTCTCTCCAGACTCCTCACCAAGGAAGTCATCTTCTCATACGACGTAACTTGGGAGTACAGTGCTTCGCTCAGAAACGGGAAGGTTCCCACAGGCTGCAAAGCTTTGCTGAGGCCCGGTCGGTATGAGAATTCAATTGACCTCTTGGTCAGGCGAGAATCGGTGGGTGTCCAGATGGGACAACTACTTGAAGATGCAGGGGCCCATGAGAACTCGCAAGCCATTTGGAGCCTTCCACAGCTGCGAACGCGAGACTCCAGATATCGCATCCCTGTGCCCAACTTCAGGACTGGGGGCCAAATTCACTGGTTCTCGATCCTGCTCCTTGATGGCATACCAAGTCATTCTGTTGCAGACTGTTACGAGAGATAATGGAGGTTTCGTGCTTCGAGTGCTCGTTTGAGAGAAGGAACTCCCTCATGATCATGCTCTTCCTTTCGGGCATGGCTGGTGTCCAAGCGCAGTCCCGCTTCGTAGAATCAGGCATATCTGGGCTTGACGCAACAAGCTTACCAAGGTCGCCATGATTTTGCTTCGAACTCTGTACCGATCCTCGTTAGCACTGAGAAGCTGTCACTGCAAAGACTTGGTAGCGCTCCTTGAAGCCAGCGGATCGTGTGTAGTGAATATTTGAAGGTTTGTTGTATGTCCAGCTCAGGTGACATCACCAAGTACAACGAACTAGCCACTGCCGAGGAAGCAGCGGAGGACTGCCACGTACATGAAGTCGTCCCTTCCAAAATTAGTCGAAACGCTGCAGCACTGCAGGAGACTGGCTGGAAACTCGTCCACGGCGACGTCTTCCGCAAGCCACGCTTCGGCCGCTGGGCCGAGTCGCTGCTTTGCTCGCGCCGCCTTGGCCAAGCGCTTGGCAGCTTCGAAAGTCTCAGACTTCTGAGGCAAGCTGTTGGCAGTCTCTGTCGGCTCGGGAGTCTGGGCCTGAGATGCTGTCAAGGCTGCTCAAAAGCGGAAGTACATGTGGCTTCCGTCAGTGGTGTGGAAAGCTGCCAGGTTGCATGCTCCTGTGCACGATTCGGATTTTGCCAGCAGCACTTGAAGCCGGCATGACGAAGGCAAGCAGCAAGCACACTGAATCAGGTGTGGTGTTCGCAGATCAGTGTTGGAAATCCGGAATGGTTGTGGGATGTTGTGGGACATGTCAGCAAGTGTCAGCAACAGCACAGCGAGCCCAGTCGTGGTAGATCCGACTCTGTAGAGTTCGCACCGGGAAGATGCCGGCCTGTGGTGACGTAATCAACCAAGTTGCGGCCGAGCATCCGCAGCTGGCAGAGCTCAGATCTGTGACTGTCCTGGGTATCACTGGCAGCACGCTCTTGGAGGCGGCGACCGTGTCGTCAATGCAGGACCTGAACCAGCAGGCCGAGCTCCGAGCTCTTCTCTTGTTTGGCATGACACATTCTCAGAAGCAGACGAAATCAGAACGGGGCTTGGGGGTGGGGTATGCCCGTCCGCGAAACATGGAAACTGCAGTGGCCCTTCAACTCTAGCTCGTAGCCGATATCAGAACAGGTCGCCAACATTCCGTTTCAGCTTGCGAAGACGAGCCGTTGCCGGGACATACTGGTTGGAGTACCCATACATCTTGCCGCAGAACAGGAAATCGGAAATGAACCCACGTTTCGAAAATTCCCACGCTGGCAGTATCGATTGGATATTCCGGAAATTGGTTTAACTGGTACTAATAGTAAGCAGCAAGATCAGTATTTGTGTTGTTACGGTTCATCAAGTAGCATCTGCAGTATCAATGTGCTCGTGGTGCTAGTCT